TAACAAGAAAATAAATGCAGAATTATTCCATCAAGCGAAGAAACAATAGTGTCTGTAAAACAATGAATGAGTCCAAGCACACTTTCCCTTACTTCCAGAGCACACCCCTGGCTCATCTCCCACGAGGGCAGAGATGACATCCCATAGACGGCCTGTTGTTACAGAAGCTCTTCTATCATCAGGAACAAAAGTGACTGGAGGGAAGCCAAGGTTAAAAGGAGACCAACAGAAATAAAACAGCAGTAGGAGAGCTGAAAGGAGATTGGCACATTTTAAAGCAAGCAGACTGATTATGCAGGAAACCACAGAGCCCCCAGGTCAGCCTTGGAAATAGCTAAAGGTCACCCCTGCTGCACGAAGATGTGCCCTAGGGGCACTGCAGCACTGCGGAGCAGATAACACATCAGTGCCTTCAGGTGAAAGAAAGCAGGATGTTCAGCCAGGAAAACCACAGTAAAAATATGCTTCTGAAGGCAGGTGAAGAAGAAATAGAGAGAGACGTGGAAAAAAGGGAATTAAAGGGTCACTAAGCATTCATGCCAAAACATCACAGGCAACAGATCTTCAATCCTCCTCATTAAGCCACCAAAAGAATGAACTAAGAAGTGCTGGCCTTCTGCATTTTAGCTGGCATGTGATTTACCCTGCAGAAGAACTCTTTGAAGACATCCAGAAGCCCTTTTTTAAAATTAAAAAACAAACAAACAAACAGTAATTGACATCAGTGCCAGCGGCACCACGGTCCTCTTGGGGCTATGCAAGTCAGCTGCATCCTAGAATAACACTAATTTGAATTAACTATCAGCTACAACTGTTAAACTCTGCAAATGTGCCCTTCTGTAGACATGAATTTCAAGCCTGGTGTAAGGGTGAATTTGCAATGTAAAATGTGACTACACTGACAACTTTTCTTTAAGCATAGAGTTATACATAGAAAACAAGCCTCTGAGTGATAATTAAGCAGGAAGGGCTGGTATGGAGTATTTGAGCCGTGTGCCTTGATCCAAGTGGCAGAGAAAGATCCAGTTCACAGGGGACTTGATAGCAACAGCCATAAAGATGAAAGAATAGAATCGAGAGGTGGCTTTCATAAAAAGATGTTCTCATTCATGAAAAAGGGTCCTATAACTACATAGGATGATTTCTACAGATTTTATGTTGAAAAATCATCTTCACAACTTTATCGAGCCGTTTCCCACCAAAATCCTCATTAAAAGGAGAGCCCCAGAGATTTCATGTTACTCCAGCTAACAATATCACGCTTAGCTCCAGCGGAGATTCTGGTATTGCATTACCCTTCACCATTCAACCTCCTAATTGGGACTGTCATTCTAACAACTCCAGAGTATATCCAGCAGTTTCACTATCATCTGCTATAATTTTGGGGCTGATATAGGGAACAGGGCATGGAAACACGAGAACTCAATTTAAATTGGCTAAAATAAAGTTTATTTTACTGTTACAATATATAATCTTTTATCAACACAACTCACAAGGTGTTTACAAAATAATCTCATTTTCTGCTGCATTTTAAACACTACTTTTATACAAACTTCAAAGGTAAAATAGGAGTTTGTAGCTAAAACATTTTTGTTACATTTTTAGAAGTATCACAAGAATTACTTCAAACAAGACTTTTTTTTTTTCTTGGTGCTATCTTCACAGACAAACCCGAATGTTTATTGTAAAGACCTGCAGGAGGATTCATGAAAGCTTTCTTTAGACAAAGGATGCCAGTCCTCCTAGTCTGACAGTGAGCAAATGCATTTGAGCTAACATTTGAGCCATCGCTGTGCCCTTGTGGCCAGGAGGGCCAATTGTATCCTGGAGTGCATCAGGAAGAACGCCAGTCAAGGGAGCTGATCCTCCCCCTCTCTACTTGGCTCTAGCGAGGCTACATCAGGAGTGCTGTGTTCAGTTCTGGGCTCTTCAATACAAGAAGGACAAGGAGCTGCTGGAGAGGGTCCAGCAGAGGCCACAAAGATCATTCGGTGTCTGGAGCATCCCTCCTGTGAGGAGAGATTGCAGGAGCTGGGCCTGTTCAGTCTAGAGAAGACTGAGAGGGGATCTCATCAATGCATATAAATATCTCGAAGGCAGGTGCCAAGAGAATGGTGCCAGGCCCTTTTCAGTGGTGCCCAGCGACAGGACAATGAGCAATGGCCATAAACTAAAACATAAGCAGTTTCACCTCAACATGAGGAATCACAGAATACATTGAGTTGGAAGGGACCTGTCAGGATCATTGAGTCCAACTCTTGACCCTGCACAGGACACCCCAGGAGTCACACCATGTGCCCAAGAGCACTGTCCAAATGCTTCTTGAACTCTGTCAGGCTTGGTGCTGAGACCACTTTCCTGGGGAGCCTGTTCCAGTGCCCAACTACCCGCTGGGTGAAAAGCTTTTTCCCAGTATCCAAACTAAACCCACACAGACTCAGCTTCATGCTGTTTCCATGACTCCTGCCACTGATCACGAGAGTGAAGAGATCAGTGCCTGTCCCTCTGCTTCCCCTCATAAGGATTTTGAAGACCCCAAGGAGGTCTCCCCTCAGTCTCCTCTTCTTCAGGCTGAACAAACCAAGTGACCTCAGCTGCTCCTCGTACGGCTTCCCCTCCAGATCCTTTACCATCCTTGTGACCCTCCTTTGGACACTCTAATAGCTTAATGTCTTGTTTATATTGTGGTGCCCAAAACTGCACACAATATTCAAGGTGAGGCTGCCCCAGTGCAGAGCAGAGTGGGACAATCCCCTCCCTTGACCAGTTGGTGACACTTTGCCTGATGCCCCCGTGGACACAGTTGGCCCTCCTGTCTGCCAGGGCACTGCTGACTCATATTCAAGTTGCCATCAATCAGGATCCCCAGGTCCCTTTCTGCAGCACTGCTCTCCAGACTCTCATTCCCTAGTCTATACACACAGTCAGGGTTGTCCCATCCCAGGTGCAGAATCTCTATTTGTCCTTGTGAAACTTCATACAACTGGTGATTGCCCATCTCTCTAATTTGTCAAGGTCTCTCTGCAAGGCCTCTCTGCCCTCAAGGGAGTCAACAGCTCCTCCTAGTTTAGTGTTGTCAGCAAACTTGGTGTTCCTTTGAGACCAGCACTGATGGATCCCAGCATCTGCAAAAACATTTTCCCAGGGGACTTTACTTACTAGTTCCCTGAGCAGCCTGAAGTCTGCTCTCCCCATGTCCAGAGCCGAAGTTTTGCTGGCACTTTTCCTCCTGTCAACAGAGATTTTAAACTTGATCCCTTCATGGTTGCTGTGGCCAAGATGGCCACTGATCTCCACTTTGCTCATGAGATCCACTCTGTTGACAAGCAGCAGATCAAGGAGGGCATCTTTCCAAGTTGGCTCCCTTAGGACCTGCTCCATAAAGCTGTCATCCAGTTTTTTTAAGAATCTTCTGGCCCGGGTTGTACCAGCTGTGTGATGCTCTCAGTTGATTTCTGGCAAGCTGAAGTCCCCCATAAGGACAAGGGCAGTTGCCTCGGAATTGTCCCTTAATTTCTCAAAGAATAATTTGTCAGTGTCACTGTCCTGGCTGGGAGGTCTACAGCAGACTCCCACTGTGACATCTGCATTATTTGTTTGCCCCTTGATTATTACCCAGACGCTCTCAACTGTGCCATTGCCAACTGTGAGCTCCATACATTCTAACCCTTCACATACAGCTATGGAAAGGATGCAGGGATACTCCTTGCCTTCTCTGCTCTGCCTGTCCCCCCAAAAAGCCTGTAACTATCCAAGAGGGCACTCCAGTCACAGAACTCATCCCACCAGGTTTCACTTATGCCATTGATATCAGATCTCTGAGACTGGGCCAAAGCTTCGAGCTCCTCTTCTTTGTTCCTCATGCTGTGTGCACTGGTATAGAAACATTTCAAGTGGGGTACATTGTACCCAATAACTCATGAGGCAAATTGAGGGATTCCATTAGTGTTCCCTTCCTCGAGTTTTGCACACCATCTCTTGCTCATTAGTAGTAAGCCTGGTTTTGCCCCTTTCCCCCTTCCAAGCCAGCTTAAAGCTCTATCAACAAGCCCCACCAGCTCCTGTGTTAGAACTCTTTTTCCCCCCTGAGAAAGGTGCTTCCTATCAGGTGTCAGTAGACCAGGTGTTGAATAGATTATCCTATGGTCAAAAAACCACAAATTTTTCTGCTTATACCAGACTCTGAACCACACATTGACCTGATGGATTTGCCTAATTCTCTCAGTATTATTCTTTGTTACTGGAAGGATTGAGGAAATTATTACCTGTGCTCCTGATCCTGCTACCAATTGCCCCAAGGCCCTGAAGTCTCTTTTGGTTGCCCTCAGAGTTCTCTTTGTTATTTTGTTGCTGCTGGCTTAGCAACCAGTAGTGGGTAGTAATCAGAGGGTTTTGCTAGACTGGAGAGTTTTCCAGTGATGTCCCATCTGAGCCCCTGGGAGACAGCAGACTGCCCTGTGAGTTGGGTCCTGTCTGTATCAGGCCCTCTGTTCCTCTTAGAAGGGAGTCTCTCATTACAACCACCAACTACCCTTCTTTTCCTCTTAACAGAGGTGGCTGTGATGTGGGGTACAGGTGGTGTTGGTTTAGGGGACCCTTCAGTCCCAGAAGGATCTTTGCCCACTGCATCAGCTGTCTGTTCTTCTAGTTCCAGGGCCTCATAGCTGCTGTAGAAGGTGTCAGTCCTATTTGTTAAGTTTTCAGGAGGAACAACCTTCCTCCTGGTTGGTGCAGTGACCTGCTTCCAGCCTTCATCTTCAACAGACCCTTGACTAACTGCCTTGCAGGGCTCTGAGTCCACCTGCTTCTCCACTGCAATGGAGGTTTGAGACTCCTTTTCCCTACACTGACTATAGGGAAGGGAGGAAGCCTGGTGCCTCCTGGTAGCTTTCATGGATCCCCACACCAATGACCAACAAGACCATAACACACAGAGCACTCTGGTCCTTAGTGCTGCACAAGAAAATATGCAAATCTTAAACAGAAGAAAATCTGAAGTATTAGAGTTGTCACAAACCATAGTATTTTAATATGTTAAAGTTACCTAAAATCCTCTGCGAATCTGGTAGTAACAGGCAAGTATTACATTACTCAACCCTGGTCTCCACTGCAATGCACTAAAACACATTAAAAAGAGTGGAAAAAGCAACCATTTTCACAGCTGCTAGAGAGGTATGTGCTAAAGTGAATGGATTTATGCTCCTGACAGTCAAGCCAGTTGACAGATTCATGATAGCAGAATCACGCCGACAGTGATCATTTTATATACAGCAAGCAGGTAGAAAGAGGTGCTACTTTTTTTTTTTCATGCATAGTTTAAACAGCTTACAGTCAGCCCATCTCCATTAAGACTAGAGATGCGTGATCCACCATTTGGTATAAGTAAAACTACCAGCAAATATACTTCCAGTGCAAACAAAATTGTCTTTCTTCAAGAAAAACAACTAAATTTAATGCTACTTCTCAAAAAAACCAATGCTTATGCTGCATCGTTTTCTACCTATTTTGGTCTGCATTTCTAGTTTCCTTCCTACCCCCAAATCACATATGAAGACAGATGATCACAGTACACATTTTTTTAGGCAACTCACTGTCTCCTCCCAAAAATACACTATACTGCTCACTGAAGATCATCCCTGAGAGCACTGTTCTAGCTAGACACTTAGAAAGCAAGAGATATATCTCAGAGCTTAGAGGAAAAAAAGGCTGTTAACCCTGTGAAATCTTGTGGGTTTTAGAAAGTAAAAAAAATGCAGCTACTCTGAGCATTTAAATTCCCTGAGCTGAGTGAAATTTGAAGACAGTAATTTGTAACATGAAGCATACCAACATCTACAGCTGTACTTACAGAAGCTGCAATTTTTTACAGTGGTGAAGTCAGATGTTACACTAAGATCACACAGCAGTTAGTGGTAGTTCCTTTAACTTGCTTCCTGCCACAGGAAATACGATGGCTTCTTTGGTGAGAAACAGCAGTGAAGAAGCGCCATGACTCTTCAGATTCTTTTGCCTTGTAATATTCCAGCAATCTTTAAGTTAGCGGAGATACCACCAGGCCATAGTGCAGTACAAGCAAACCATCCTATAGAGAAGAGAAAGAAACTGTATCATCCTACTTCACCTTTTCTGTGAGGCATTTCCATCACCACCTGGCACAACAGTCACTGCATGGCAGGACCCCAGGCACAATCTCACCATTTTATACAGTGTCCCTTCCGTATGGAGAATGCAAGTTTTGAAATATGAAAGCAAATAATTACGTTGCCCTTTCCTCCTTGAGATGGAGAAAAGTGTTAAAAGAAAGTAGAATCTGGTACTTTGATTTTATTTTAAAGTTATAATTGAAATATCTCCATGCAATAGGCTCTTTGCTTACAAGTCATGCTGCTTTCCACATGATACTGTGGGGCAGAAAAAGTAATCCATCAAGTAGTTCTAGAAGGTGCTGCCAGAAGTTGCAGTAGAAGAGTCTAGACTACTACTATATACATTTATTAAGTAATAAACAGACTGGATTAAAAAAATTCCAAATGACAAACCATTAGTTTATTAAGTTATGTTTCTCCTCTTCAGAGACTGCTCCACATAATAAAAAAAAACCTTTCACCTGGGAAACAGGACACTTCTGACCCATTAGCTTTACTAGTGCCACTTTATTCACACTCAGCTGATGAAAGGTCAGCAATTAAAACCCCCAAATGCATTCCTGTGTTATTAGTGCCAACTGACTAACTTTCCTTCATCTTCTCATCCTGTTATTAACTAGGAATCCATTGCTAACTCCTAAAATGATACAGAAGGACAGAGGAACTTTAACTTACTTCTTCAGTGTCTAGTATAAAGTGGGATGGCTACGTTGCAAAATGAAGAAAGAATCGTGATTGTTCTCTCTTCTTGTTATGCGGAACAGGTCCCATGAGGTTACTTAGGAACCTCTTGGCACACAGGACATTGTTACACCTTCACAAAGCCACTTACTCCTTGTGCCCATTAGCTACTTCAACAGAGAAAATAAAGACATTTTCAAGCTTCATTTTTTGGAGAATGTCAAAATCAGTTCTTCCTCTATGACAGTTTCTTAAAGAAATATTTATAAAAAGAAAATGCTACAATGTATTCTTTGATGAATGGGTTTTCAAATGGTACATTTAACAGTAGGACATTTAAAGAAATTATCTATTTACACAGGAAATATCCCTGGTAAACCAAAGGCCAAACCCACTGCAATTCCTTTGGCACAAAGCAAAACTGAGAGTTACCCCAGTACTGGCACTTCTTACTCTGTAATTATTCACTTCTAAAGTATTACACATTTCTACATGTCTTTCTCTAGACACTGTTCTTAAAAGGAAGCCCAAACAGAGAATGTGCTCTCACTGCTTATTACGAATCTCAAGCCAGTTTAACTCAGGCTCAAAAGAAACGCAAAGCTCTCCAGTGTTCTTTGCCACACATTTGTGACCCTGACCTAAAAAAATTTAAAAGAATCCAACCTGTTACACCCAACTATAGAGTTGAACTGACAGACTGAAACATCAGAGTATACACCCCCTCTGATCTTATAAGAGCAGCAGCAAAAAAAAGTGCCCCACTTTCCAAGTTCAATAATCCCACAGCAAAGAGTAAAACACTTCCGTAGCAAATGTGTGCTAGAAGGTCACAGTAATTAAATTAGAGCACAGCTCTCGCTGCCCAGCTCAGGAGACTGAAAAAATAGCGCAATAGCATTGGGTTACAAAAAGGTGAGAGCTACAAAGAAACCATTAGAATCTGCCAAACCTCTGTGCCAAGGGCCAAGGACATCACGGAAGGCACTCCTTTTAGCTTTTCCCATGTGTGAGCTCATTATATCCATCAGTGATGCAGAACTCTGAGAAGGCCCAGTTTCAGACAAATGAAAATAACCAGCAGCTTGGATCATGTTGCATTTGTGCAGCAGAGGGGAGGAAGGTAATACAGAGAAGAAATTATATTCCCATAAAGTTAATAATAAGCTTCCTTCCTCAGCTACTTGATCGAACTCTTAATTACAGATCTCAATGCCTGGTAACAAAATTCAGCCTTTAAAATTTTCTGTGTCTTTGATCACTCCTTGCAGTAAATTCCACAAGTTCTACACTTTGTTTTAAAAATAAAACAAAGTTGCTTCTTTTTATATAAATTCTGTGCAGCAATTTTTTAAATGTTTTTGCCCTAAACAGCGCTAGAAAGCCTACTTCAAGCTAATTAGGAAGATTCAACCAACCACCCAATTTCTGAAATGTCAAAACATCTTGAGATCTACAAGATTAAACAAGATTTATTGCTGATTCTTTTTTAGCCTTCTATCAACTACTCAGAAACTAACTTCAATTTAAAACAACCTGAGTAGATTACTATGGGGCCAGTCAGGAATACTTATTTTATCATCAGATCACACTTATCTTCCCACACTTGCTGGACAGGCACCTACATACTCAGAACAGCTAAAATCCTGCTAGTTGCACCTAGAGGAGACTTTAATTTACTGAGGCTCTACAGCACCACTACACAGTGCCAGTCAGCAGGGAAAAAAACAAATACATGACCCAAAATCTTCACAAGACTGTGCTCACAATCTGAGCATTTAAGAACAATTCAGGAGGAGTAAAAGACACTAAAAAAAAAAAGTCACAGTGATTATGGTCCACAAGAATAAATCACACAAACATATGCTGCATATGCAATGCTGCATTGCAAATGCTACCAAAGAATGCACATTAAAATTAATTTCTTTGGGAAAAAGAAATTTATCTGCATTTTTAAAATCACTTTCCCCAGCAAAAAGAATAACTGCTGACACAAATGAACTAGCGAGTGAAAAACAGCAGTTTTTTTTTTCCTCTAACAGTGGCTGTAGTCATCTAAACAAAAGCCCAGTGTTTATTCCCTTAAATGACTTTCTGTTGCACAAGTAGCTACTGAAGCTATTTTCTTAGCATGAAGCATCTATAATGAACATCAGAAACTGGTAAATGACAAGAGCAGTTTTGAAGAGTGTCTCAGCATCCCGGTGAGAGCTCTTAGGGATGTTCCAAGCTCCAACATTAATTTGGAAAGGCTGGAAAGTTACAGAGGCACAAGATGCCCTTGGAGCTTAATGTAAAATTCATCAAATATTCCTCTGTAGATGTCTCACTGGCCACGACAACTGTGCCTCTTATTGAATTTCAGGTCCTGGTGAAAAATAAACACTCATTATTTTTAGACTTGACCTATCAGTTTATTTTTTTTCCTGGATAATTATCTAAAAATATTTTCCAAAGTCTTTTTCATCCTAGAAATGCATTTCTAAAAGATAATATAATGTTAGACTAAAGAACATGAAAATGTCACAATTATTTCAATATCAAAAAAGAAGCAACTGTGGTTTATTTGCAATGTTCCTACTGTAACTATTTGGTATCCTAAGAGATTTTCTAACAAAATGAAGAAAAATTAAGGATGAACCTGATCTTTCAAGTTTCCTGTCGGGAGTGACTAAGAAAGCACAGGAAGGACTTCAAAAAAAGCAAAGATATTTTTTGTTTATTTGTCCAACAGAGCAGTCTTGAGGGAATTAACTGCTAGCATACTGATTTTGTAATAAATGAGACTTTAAACCTCACTGCAGAATATATCCCAAGACAACTGTTCTCTTTGTGGAGCTGCTGACTGGTACCTCATCACTAAACATCAATCAGGCAGACCCACTTCTGACAACAAATGAAAGACACTAAACTTCAACTAGGCAGATCCATTTCTGACAAGAAGTGAAACTCAGGCAGTATTCCTTAAAGTGCTTCCCCAAGAGTATTTTCCATACATTAAAGGCTTTCATGCTAAGATCAAGTTTAAAAAGCATATATGTGACTATATCCCCGGACTGAGAAACATATAATCCCCCTGTCATTTACTGAAGCTTTTAGTAGATGGTACTTCCAGCACTATATGCTGACTGCTGAATTTACTTAAAATGAATACATTATGTTAGAAACAAGCTTGTTACCAGTACCTGCTTCCTCACAGTGGGTTAGGTTACATTTTCATTTTTCTTCACATATAAACAGCTAAAACATCAAGTATGGCATATATTCACTTTGACTGCAGAAACAGCGCAAGCTTCACAGACTTAATGTCTGCCAAAACTACAAGCCAAATACCTCTGCCTTGACTGTGGGATTCCTCCTAGTGACTCAAATCAGGTACAGGTGATGCAAAGTCCAAGATATCTCAAAATCAGCTTTCCACTCCTTGGCCCTGACACTGAAGCCTCCCTGTAGCATGAGAGGGCTCAGAAAGAAATTTAAATGTAAAAGTTTGTGCATGTGTGTGCACAAAGAAGTGAAGAGAAACAATTCTGCAACTATTTCAGCCCTCCTACTATCTGCTTAGATTGCTTTCCAAACAAAACACCAACCTAAATCCTATTTTCCCCACTGTATTAAACATTACCTTCTCAAACTTCAAAGTTTATATTAATATACAGTTTACCATATCATGATTTTACATCTCTATTCTACTATGCACTATGCAGACTACTTCATTGTTTTTGCAGCACTTGTAAACTGGTGTGATCCTTCCCATTATAAAGATGCTTGAAAAGGTTCACAAAGAATTAAAACCAAATGCTTTCTTATTTGTAAAGCCAGCAGCACTAAGGATAGTAAGTTATCAACAAGGAATAGTTGGCCACGCTGTGAGCAGAACCAGTACAATACGCATCAAACCTATTAACTGCATTCACTACCCTCCATCTTTGGTTTGTGTTTTTATGAGCAAGTTTATCCTCCTTACTCAGTCACAAGGACAGCCTTATTTAGGATTTGTCCTCCAATTTCTTGCAGAGATGCAATTACCAGGGAGGAAAAACAAGCCACAGTAATTGAAAGAATGGTTGATATAATATATCCCTTTTTTGTTTTGGGGGAAAAAAAACCAAACCCCAAACAAAACCCAACACAAAAACCTCATATCCAGAACATCATGAAAATGGTCAAGAACACTGTCAGCACATGGTACACTTCTCAACTCTACTTAAAAGATAAACAACATTTTGCATAAGTTGGAGAGATCTTCTGAGCAATTTCTTCAGACAAGTTGGAGCTTCCTGATAGCTTAAGAAAGAACCAATCTTCTATTTTAAAATAAGAGAAAACCTGGAACAAAGCCCCAGTTGCCACACATACCTGCACTGCACTCTCTCCTATGACTTGACGAATTTCCCTCAGTGTCTGGTAGTGCTCCAGTAGGTGATCACCACATATTATGTCCACCTGTGAAAGAACACAAGCATGGTCAAGTTCAACTACCTTTGCAGTAGTAAAACCATACCTAAGGCCTTTTAATTTGATTAACAGAGTTCAATTCTAGCATGTTAGACACTCCAGTCATCTTTACCTTTATTGTCCAAACGTATTTAGCATGCAGAGCACTACTGCACTGCCCTAATGCCTCTCCCCCCATGGCCCTGACTTGGGGCTCACTGCTGGAACAGAGTGGACAGTTTATTGTTTCACCCACAATTTGGTGCACCCACTGAAAGAAGCTGTTTAGTAATAGCTGTGATGAATTTAATGGGAATTTAGATCATGTATTACAATGATGCCAAAAACATCTGGAATCATTTGTCACATCAGTGGCAAAAGACAGTTGTTTGTGCCGCTGACAGAAAGCGAGCCTCATTCCTACCCTGAGTGAGAAAACATGTGACTAAGTTCACTTGAGAAGCGTTTGGAAGAAGTGTTTTAATCTCACTGCATGCCCCTGTCAGCTGGTACATCACACAGTCCTCCTTTAACATGCACCCAGTCAGTATTTCTGGGATACAACTGCAGGACATACCCAGCACTTCTATGCATTGTCCTCTTCTGCAGCTAAACTGTGTCAACGCTGTATGCAATTTCAGACGAGGCACTTTTTTTAAGTAACTGCCCACAAAACCAGTAATTTTGTGGAAAAAAACCCCCATAACGAGGTATTCTGAATTCCTTGCCTTAACTATTATAAAAAATAGGCTTCTTTATAAAGTTATATGAATTTACTGTGCAACGCAAATCCAGTCTTTAACATTCCAAATTAGAGCAGCTAACACAGCACTGTTTCTCTCTCAACTGCAGCATGCTTAAATTTTCCTTATGAGCAATTTCTAGATATGGAAGTGAGAGTACTCTCGTTTGTGACTTGAAAAAACCTCAAAATTGAAGTTAAGAGGATTGACACTGAGCTGTCCCACAGCTTTCTGCAAGGAAATTGTCTAAGCTCTGCCCCTGCAGCAGTCGGGGAGCACACTGCAATATCATGACGTATTCTCTTATACAGCCACTTTCCAGGACAGGATGCACTCTGGGCTGCAGCTATTCAATTCCCCTGGATTTATATTCTTCTGCGTGCTGACCCACTACATCTCTCTTGTTCTTCATGGCGAGATTTGGCACGATTTATGCCTCATGCTGGCAGACCACATTGTTCTGAGACTCAGGAACACAGGAATTCTACTCCTCAGAGGCTCAAAAGGGGCTAATTTACTTCACCATCTGTATCGTATGAGGATGATGCAGAACACTCCCTTCAAGTTAGGTTGATTGTTTACGTGCAGAAGATGTAAACTGCTTAGCATTATTTCTGCTTTTAGCTTCTAGAAGTAAAGCAGCAAGTAAAAACTAATCTGGATGTAAGATTAAATACTGATCCATATACACACAAACGCATATATTTAACATCAACATGTGATGTATTTAACACGGCACCTGAAAGATGTATTTCTTTTCTTTTTAAAAACTGGCTAGTTATTTCTCCTATTTTCCATGCATTTCAGCCTCTACAGTTATTACTGCAGGAAGACAGACATGTCTGCTTTGCTTTTCAGTGATACGTGAGTTTAATTATTTTTGTTTTCTAAGCTTATTTTTATACTGTAACGCACTGAAAACTCAATCCTGGTCCCATTGAAACATATATACATACATATTATATATATTCTAAAGAAACAGAAAATCTAATCTGTTTGACCACTATAAGATGCAAACAGACACAGTCGCAGCTGCTGACAATCTCTCAAAACAGAATTAGAATGCTTGTTTGAAAGTATCCCATTGTTGTACCTGCTGCTCCAGTTTCAAGTGATAGTCATTAAAGAGCCAGTGCCTAATAATAAATTGAGAAGAGTTTTTCACATTTATTGTACTAGAATGCTCTGGATACCAAATGCCTAACTGCCTAATTCCGGCACCAAAGCCTGAAATTCTGCCTGCTAATTGTTATGCTAGAATTCATTCTGTAAGGACAAAAGAATGAAATATATACTTAAAAAAATCCCAGTCCAGTGTGAAAATGAGTTGTGGAATGTGTTTCAGAGGAATCCTTGTTTAGGAATTGATACATTGCATTGCAAAAGAGGCAATGAGTACTATAGATTTACTAAAATTTGGTAAAATTGAAATCAGCTGGTACTGATTGCTTGTGAGTAATAAATGTAGTTTGACCCTTTGCTGAAAAGAAGTATGAAGGTGTGTAGATGCTGAATACTCAGTCACTTGTTACAATTCTTATTAAAATAAAGTAGGCTTTCTATTATGCCATTTCTTTTCTTTAGATGGCTTATCTGCTATAAGAGCTATTTCTCTAAAAGCCACGATAACAGACATTTATAAATTCATAATCACTAAGTAAGACAGAAATAAAAGTAGAAAAAGTTCATGTAAGGGACACTGCATATAAGCTTCATCCCAAGGGAGAATTTGGCCCAGAAAACAGTAGACTTCAATCAATAGTTTCTATGCCAACCCATACTATCCAGGGAAGGGCAAGGAAAACACAGAGTTTTAGAGATTGACGTGAGAATTTGGGCTAGTTATTCAAAAAGCTGTCAAAGCTTCCCATTTCCTCTAGTTGCTATTTACTTTTCAAAGGGTACCGGATACCTCTGTTCCAGGGTTTAAGACTGGCATAAAGAAACTGCATCAACAGCTACACTGTATGAGCACAGACTTCCTTTCTTCCAATCTTCCCCCAGGCTGCAGTTCACACACACACTGTCAGGAATGCACATCTGGTAATGGAACACTTCTATTCCACAAACTACGTTAATGTATTTGGACCAGCCAAGGCACAAGTCTTTCAGCAATCACTCTCATCCTTACAGAATGAATACCAAGAAAGGGTACTGCTGCTGCAGGATGACCTCAAAGGAAAATCACACTGTAAAGAAAACTTCTGCATCAGATGCTGGAGGACAAGAATCTAATGGTTACAAACACCATAGCCTGTATTCAGCTCACATGTAATGTTACCTACTCAGCTATTAACAGCGATTCCAGTTTCTCAAAAATGATTTTCACCCTCTCCTAACAAATTCCAGCAAGAATATTCAAGAAAGACCTTGTAATTAGAAGTATACATAAACATATACAGAAAATTAATCATTGCCCAAAGCACAGAGATCAAAACAAAGCATCAGAAAGAATAAATTACAGTTTACCAGCTCAAGAAGTAGATAAAAATGAAGCCTTAACCTTCAGATAAAATAGGAAATTTGAATCATACTCCATTTGCAAACTCAAATACAGAAATTTGAAAATAATTTGAAGCCTCAGACTAGGAAAAAAAAAAGAACAAAGGCAGTGGCTTCAAAATTGCTTTTATATATACTGTCACACACGAGTCAGCTGGCTTATTGTACAACTTCATTAACCTCAATCTGGTGCAGGTCAGTGAAGAAAGGCAAGCACTGGCTAACACTGCACACGAACAAATTAAGCTGAAGAGGCCCGAGCACGGTCAGCAGTTCAGGAGAATGGATAACACACCTATCCCTTGGTCACTGAATCAGTTCTAACAGAGAATGAGTAAAACATTTGCCCACTAATAGGGGATCATATCTGTCTGGTAAAGTCCAAGTAGAAAGTAACTAATGGGGGAAAAATGCTCAAGTTAGCTCTGTTAGATGATCTCAATATTGCAAAATCTGAAAGAGCACTACACATGGGCCCAGCTTAATTTTGAAAAATGAATATCAATTTCCATGACAGCTGCTCAGTATTCCTGAAAACTGAGATTCCGGTGTCCTACTTAAGAAAATCCAAACAAAGCAATTGATTCCCCCCAAATAAACCACAACTCAATTAATGCAAAAAGCTTCTCTAGCCTCATTTTGAGGATACTTTTATTTGTTCAGAATATCAAGCCACCACCACCTGAAAGCTAGAAACTCCCAACTGAGAGGAAACCAGCAAATGAAAATACATTACTTCCTCAGCACGATGAATAATTTATATCTGATTTGCTTTGTCACCACTAAAAGGTAAGCAGCATGAATAAACACTCATTACTGAGGCACACAGCCATGCTGTATTGTCTCAGACACTGACTGCTGTATGAAAACAGCCTTAACTCCAAACCCAGCATTTAAGTTCCACCATTTGCCTATTCACAGCAGTATCAGCTTGATTTTCCAATAATTGACAGCTTTAAGAATTATTTACACCTTACAGAACTCCCACATTTTCTCAACAGAATGGTTGCTGAAATACACTGAAGAATTGAAAAACTGGTTTTGACATGCAGTTCCTCTCAAAATGGTTGAGAAATGTGAAGCTAAATTCTTTTGCTCCTTTGAATTCTTATTTGGAGGGAAGTGTCTATATTTGCATTCACACCTTTCATTTCAACACATCCATCATTCTTTCTTAGCCCTTGTTTGCATTCACTTAAATTTTATTGTTATTCAGCTCCTGCCTTCATATACTCCCACATTCCCACACTTTCCTGTCCAGTTTTACCTTTGAATCAGCAGTATCTCTCAGTTTTGAATTTCATCAGCTGAAATCTTAAATGGCACTTTAAAAACTCTATCCAATTAATAAAGTATTATGAAAATCTAAAGAGGTTGCAAATGAGCTAGGAGAGTTGCTCCTTGCAGATCACAACATTTCAAACAATTAGTTTTTTAATCCTTACTGCATTAATCTAACACTACTTCTAGAATCTAAAGAACAATGGTAATGTCTGCCCAAAGCAGAGGCATTACACTGATCACAGGGAACTTGTAAGTGCCACTGCAAGTGCATACCTGACAAGCAGGGTCCAGATCCATTTTTCTTCTGAGGAATTTCTCCACATGTCCAATTGTTGCCTCCCCAGAAACACGCACAAACTTCTTTTCCAAAGGCTGCAAAGAATAAGTAAACATTTTAAGACAATGTACATTTTCAGCCCTCATCCCTTGTAAACTCCAAACCCAAGTGACCATCCAATAACAAAGGGAGACAGCTTAAATTTTGGACCTTTCTCTGATCTTGCAGATTACCTCATAGGGAAAGAAATAAATATGTATTAAGACTGTGTTCAAACTTCCTTCTGTTTAAAACATTTAAAAAATAACCAGCAACTGACTTCAGTCCTATTTTATTTTAACAACTTCTCCCCCTACAAGGATTTACTCATCTGAAGCACAAGAAAATTTCCTAATGTTTCCATATTTTCTCCAAATCAGGCTTGTATACTAAACACAATTCAGATACTTAAACCCCATCATTTTATGATGCAAGGAGCTTAAGTCCTTTAGCATTCTAGAAGTAGTATGGCTCATGCTTAATAGCCCACGAAATTCCAGAATCAATTAAAATATACTATTATGCAGAAAACAAGGGCAAGACTAGTCTTAAATCTTTTTGCTTTTTCCTAAATACTTTCACAGACAGGACTGCAACAAGAAGACATTCATTATGCCAGACTCAAAATTTTTAATAGGCTTCCATTCTATGGATTAAATTTTAAACAGCTGACTGGTGATATGGACGACTACACGAAAAGGCACAAAGGCAGAGCAGATGACTGCATTCAGTGTGATAAATGGATTACTTTTTGTGTCAATTGATTGGATTTTTATGTTGACTTCTGAACAGATGTGATTTACTACCCAGGTTCATCGTATTCTTTCAAATAAAAGAACGAGCTGAGGGTCACGGACTACCCTTGAATTCAATCATGCATTTAAATAAGTATTCATGATAACTCTGCTTTGGGAACAATAGTTTGATTTATTCATGTGCAAGAGCTAGAAATTACAGTCAGACCTGATCTGGGGACCCCACTGCTGCAAGCTTGAGGATGCTGAATTTAGGCTTGCTGCATGTATAAATCAGTTTATGGCCATGGACCTGGTAACCCGTTCTCTACTCCCCCATCCCCACTTACAAAAAGGACAGTTGAAACCCCTCATATATTAAGTAAAACTCTTATACATATATATATATATATGTGTATATATATATATATAATGTCCCTTATATATATATATATTAAGTTCTACATCTAGTTCTCGTAAGGGAATTTCCCTTAAGGGTGGGGCATCACAACTGCCCTGTTTTGTGTAGCCCAAAACAAAGAGGACAAACAACAAAGCAGAAAGGAGGGCAGATGTGAGACAGAAAGGGTAAGAGGTGATATAAGGGCAAGAACATGAAAAAAATACTGTGAAATGTAAGGGTAAAAAGAAGAAAAAATGCTGGATAGGCATGATGGTATATAACAATAGGTTTGAAAGCAGACACTGCAATCCAACATCGGTTATTACTATGCTGATGAAAGTTCAGGCTGCATTCAGTGTAAGAAAACCAAACTAAATTAAATACATTCAGGGTATACTTATTTCTGAAATAAACCATAAAAAAAAAATTCAAATCACATCCGTACCTTAAAATTCCCTGTGCCTTCGTTTGCTCTGGAAAAAAACACAAGAGTAGAGTAAACACAGTCAATATTGCTAAAGCTAACAGTTAATAATATCCTCAAGCTCTTTATAACAGAGACTTATTGATTTATGAGTCTTGCATATCAAGCTTATTTTCCCAGTTCAGGCTCTAATACATGAAATAATATTAGACTAAATTTATATATCTTTTTCTCCTATCCCTTATTTTTCTGCTCAGTTTTTTCTTGTGAATTCAGCTATTTATGACTTTAAGGTTTGTCTACATGAAATGGGAGTAAAAACCAACACAGCCTACAGCCATTTTTAAACACAACATTAATTTTGGTTGCAATATTAATGCTGCTTAAATATCTATACAAGGTCCTTGATATTTGGAACTTCAGCAGACAGTATCTAAGAAGTTACTCACAGAACACACACAAACACCTAAAGAGCTCCCTGAGCCAGTTGCTGGCCTTCCAGACTATTGATATGACAATATTAATGTTACCTCGGAAGTCAGAAAAGCAGCGTTTCTCTGGAATGTGAAATACACACAAAGGTGGCAAATGACCAAATTCCCAGCTGGCTTCCACCAAGGTTCACTGATTTGCACATCCTGAGCCTGTGACCTACCACTGATCATCCATACTCCACACCTTCTTCTTGTAGTGCAACATATAAATTTGTCCCTTAATTAAACCCAATTCACAACATTTCATTATTCTTGCATTGCATTAGCAAGTACACATGAGAGAGGAAAAAATGAAGTATTTCATTGCACTGGAGAAGGCAAAAATCAAACATCACTGTAAATCAACTGACCACTTGGTATAACAAATAAATGTGCAGACCACACATTAGCACAGCACTTCAAGTTACTGTAATTGAGCATCTCCACCTCTAAACATATACCAGATATCAGAGTTAGGTAAAGCTATTATGAGCTAAGAAACACAGAAAAGCTTTTTCACTACAGCTGTCATTTTATTTGATACAGTTCCACAGCCACAGGTGACTAGATTATATACTCTAAACACACAGTAGAGAATTTCAAAGCAACAATTTCTTCTGGCTATTCCAAGTTTGCTTTATCAATCCCTCATAACCAAGATGAACCAAGATTGGTTTTGCCTGCAGAACACTCGATACTACAGTTTTAGTAATGACTCCCACTGCTGTCAGCTGTGCTTGTAAGCATTCAGCTGCAAGGCAGGCATGAGAAAATGAACTGAAATTAAGTCAGGTATGTGCATTCACAGTGTCAAAAATTTTATATTATTTGAAAGCAGCTGAGTGCTTGCTTGACATTAGTAGCAAGGATTGTTTGTTAGGCCACAAGTTGAACTCTACTTGAACTACATGGCTCTGTTGCATTAATCAAAGATGGGTTACAGCAAAACCTGCAGCTAACAACCTGAACATTAACAAGAGTTAGAACAGACAAAACCAGCACCTTAAATATTATTAAAAAATAACAGGGGGAATGGACAGCCCATAAATTGTCGTATATGAACAGTAACAACCATATTACAACATGGACCACAGAACTGACCAAAACAGACTAAAGAAGATGTGAAGATGATCACACAGCAAGCACTGGATAATGAAACAGTGAACTAAAGAAGAATGAGAAGATCCCAGACCCTAAAATCACTATTGGTCTGGACTTCCATGAGGGATGGGGAGTTTAGGTCATAAGAGTGTAGTTGCCCAGGGATTTCTTTCGTTGTGGTCCCTCTAGTGAGGTACCAGCTTGAGCTACCAGATGACTGATTTGTGCCAGTAAACCTATCTAATGGAGTTGAGAGCCTGGAGTCAAAACTTTAACACAGAAGGATGTTCTTTTGTTCCCTAGAGGTTCAGCTTTAAGACCTTCCCTTTTCTTCCTGCAGTCCCACTCCTCATCCATTTAAAGAAATAAAGACACACGATGGGCAACACAAAAATACAGCCAACAAAACAGAAAACCACATGCCACCACCTACCTTAATAAAATTTACCCACGAAGAAAATTTGTTCTGTACTCTGAATAAAGTGACACACAGTGGAGAAACTGGACATAACATATAAAATGATGTCTACAAAGAGTGAGGTTGAATCAAGATATGCTTTGCCAATAGAACTTCTGAGTTTCCGAGGGCTTAATTTTATGTCATTTGTGTAATAGTTTGTTATGATTATGTATTGGAAGTCTCAATGTTAAGTTCAGACAAATTCAGGCCAAAAGGAGGCACAATCTGGGTAGAGGTAAGAGTTACACTTCCCACAAGCCAATCCAAGCACAGCCAGCGTTAACGGTACTGCCACCTACAGGGATGAGGGGACTGGAACAGACAAGGATTCCACCGTTCAGTTTACTGAGACTGTGCTACCTTGTCAAAACCAAAACACACGTAAGTTTTAAAACTACACTTTCTGGGAAGCTATTTTTATAGAAAGACACATCTTAAGCATTTAATTATTTGCATTATCTAGCTATGATTGGCTGTCATTATTGCACTATAAGTTAAAACCAACTCCCCACTGCTATTTGAGATGAAGAAATGCACATTTAATGAAAACCAAGGGCCAGTTAATGGTCCAACACACAGAAGCAGCACCTTCGTGTCAGCCAGCTGCTCTTACATTTGCCCACAACTCACCCAATAAACTCCAGAAGTATGGAGATGTCAAGTTCTGGCGGAATCCGGAACACTGAGCCTAGAACCTTACGAGGTCTTCCTCTGCTCGTTGGAACTGGCTGTGGGACAGCTAAAATATTCAAAAAGCCAAAATGCAAAGACAATTTGAAATAAAAACAGCATAAGATGCTAATATGCACCAAGCAAAACAGAAGAACTCATCAGGAAAAAAAGCCCATACAATTTATCCTATTTTTTATTACTAAATCAGGTCTTCCTACATTGTATGCTGTGTATTTGAACCAGCATTTTAGTACTTTCAGCAAGGCCCTTCTCCTAAGAGCTGTCTGTTTGACAGTAAGACACAAAATAATTAGAGTAATCCCTAATCTGTGAGCAGACTTTGAAGTTCTTATTTTTACTCCTTTGTAATGTCTATTATTTATTAAGGTCCAGAAAATAAAATTAATGCACAGTATAACATATATTTCCTGGTCGTAGGCAAAATATATAACAATCCAACCATTATCTGGGTTTAAGTGTTGCCAATTCCATCTATTTTCGTAATCTGAGATCTGTGACAAGTCATAGCAGTCAAATAACCAAGAATTCCAAATTTCCAATACACACATCTCCATCAGTTGTGAGCTAATATTTTAAGGCCTTATGAATAAATTATATAGTAAGTCCTTCCCTAACAGTGTCCCCTAAAGTGATTACAGCTCACCTGGTTTGGGCACTTCTAATCCTCTTTCTTTATAGAAGTCATGCATTTGTTTTTTCTCTCCTGAAAAAAAGAAAAGCCACAATACACAGATTGAAATGTTATTTCAAATGCTGAAAATATCCATGGAAATTCCAAAAGTCAGAACAGTAAAAATTTTCTAATTTCCTACAGACCTTCACCATCATTAGAATTCCATATGAGGCTGAGACAGTTAAAATACTCAGAATAAGATTTTGTTAGTAAAAACTGGGAAGAAATCAGAGAAATTGGCCATAAATCATACTGAGATAGTTGCAAAAAACAGTACCCTTCTGTGTCCATGACTATTTTTTATACTTTTTATAGTCCATACATATCCACTAGATTGTTGGCTCCCAAAGTTGAAAGTCAATGAGACAGTGAACACATTTAAAAATCAGACAAATAAATATGGTAGAAAAGAAGAAAACAAAAGAATTTGAGAGAATCAGCCTTAGCAACTTATTTCAACCGAGTCAAGTGAACTTGTTACACAGAATATGATATACTTCTACAAAAATAAGAGGCATGACTATGAAATATTGCCTGGATGTTTACCTGAATACAGTGACACCCGTGTTTCACGAGATAGGGTACACATTGCTACCCCTAACAGCACTTAGCAGGCAGAAACATGACAGTAATCACAGTTAATTCATTCAGGTTTATAACCAAACATTACAAAACTATTTTAAAGAGACCAGAGTAGAAACAGGGCTTTTAATTACTCTGTTTTCTGTTCAGTCTTTTCAATTTCTATATGATAATAAAGGGACTTACTTTCCTCAAGATTGACAACTAATTTATAGACTATGTCTTGCAGTTGCCGGTCCAGTCTACGAAATAGAAAAAAGAAAAGAAAGTCTTTGGTGCAACATGAAAGGGTTTCATTTTATTGTAACAAAGATGCAAAATAGGATGTTAAAACATGACATACATAAAGGAGCATGTGGAGCAGCAACTCCACATCTTTCAAAATACACATCCTGACAGCAGAGCTCCAACAAAAGTCATGTGAAGTTCAAAATACCACCCTTCGTGAACAGCTCAAGAAGTTAAAACTCAATTTTCAGTTAATAAGTATACCATGCCAAGAAAGCTTCATCTTTGTATGACGCAGCTCATATCACCTCTAACATTGAGTAAACACATAAAAATAACCAGGGTAGAAGGTAATAAACCCTAGAAATGGATACAAACTAGATAAAACAGCATATTGAGGGGGTTTTATCTTAACTATTGAGATGAAACTTACATAAACAAAGAACACAATGTGTTTCTTGCAGCTGTTCCTTCATTTGAAATAGGAAAGCACTACAAGTCTGCAAACCAAAACATTTAAAAGCAAGCAGCAAATCTATAAAAAATGGCATTAACTTATTACCTGATATTATAAAGGGGCTGTGTCTGATGTACAACAATATTGCATTTTGGACATCTGTTGCTATAGTAGAAGTGTCTCACGATGCAGCTTTTACAAACTGTAAAGAAAAGAAACCCCGTGGGAGTCACATGCCCATTATACAGTGCCATCTGTGCAGGCAAGAGGAACAATTACACCCAGACCTCCCAAATAAAATTTGTCAAGAGGCAAAATGAAGTAAGTAATTGAACACTCCTAATTCAACTGATGCAAAGGTGAGTGTTCAATGTTGCAACTGTGTTATCTAGAACATGGGTAGAACTAAGGCAACAGAATACTGACTGCTGAAAAATGCCCTAAAACAGTTTCAGCAGGAACAAAGTAAGAAATCATAACTGCCATTTTCATTCTGTTTTACGTGTACTTAAAAAACTTGGAAGGAAAGCTAACAGTGAAAATATCTAGAGTAAATAACCTACTATCAAATCAGCTCCCTACAAGCCTGAACACAACAAACTTTTCCACAACATTTACCAGGAAACTTCTAAGAGACCACCACAGCTGCACTTGCAACATTACTTCGTCCTTACTAACACTTGTGCTTTTTCCTAAATTACAAACTGTGCTGAACACTACCAGCTATATAACAAACTGGTCAGCAGTGCCCCCAAAAAGGGGGAAAAAAAAGAAAAAGAGTTTTCCCTCTTTCTATTGTGAGTGGTTGGGAGGTCTAGGAAGCCAGGATTCTCAGATTCAGGTAGGAACATGGGTGTAGCTGAAAATCAGCTTCACAGAAAGGGTTTTATTAGCTTTAAGAGAAAATAGTTCTGTTACCAAGGGAAAAGCTGTTAGCACTAGGACTGAGGGGAAGAAGAACAAGACAAGCATATCAAAATAATTTTCTTTTATTACCCATCTATTTCCATTTATGAGATTATAGACAAACTTTCCCAGGGGTGCAGACCACAATTTCTGTATCTGAACTGGTACTTCCACACAGGTGCTTATGGAACTTTGTGAATTCACATCAACAACAGTTTAGGAAACTCTTTAGTCCACTATAAGCAGAGCCACTTAACTTTCTTTTCTCAGTTATATACTCAAATTCCTGGAGCCTACTTAAAAAAAGTAATTAAGAAAGTGTACATAGCAGCTCTATTTTTGTCTTATTTGGGCTTTTTCTTTTCTTACATCGTTTTCCCTCTTAACTTGGAAAGCAGACTTCGTGATCAAGTGATTTCATGATTTTCTGATGCTTTAAGTATGCACAAATATATGTCCCTTATGGAACAGAATAAACACAACACACATTCACTTCAAACAATTATTTTTGTGAACCCAGAATATCTCAACACTGATTTTGTTTGAATTTGCAACTAAACTCTTAAACAGATAACACTGATACTTACAGGTGTGCAGACATTCTGTAATAGTTGTAGCATCAATAAAGTAACCTTTGCAGATGGAACACAGGATATAAGGGGTCAACTCTGCGAGGTTTATCATACGCTACAAACAAAGACAGTTTGTAAGAGTTTGAATACACAGGCTAAGCTCTGAAACTTCCTGATTGCAACTTCCAAAATACCGAAGCCTTAAACCATGAAAAAACCCGGGATCAACAGGCCAGAGGAATGGCTTTTCCTAAGAGGTCAATAACTCCTCATATACAGATATTTTCTAAAGACTTTCACCTAGTCTTCTAAATTGACCTTTTGGAGAATGGCAATCCAACTTGTTTCATGAATCATATCTAAAAAGCAAACTTTAAACAATCATTTTGAGAAAAGTTCTTTTGCATAAACTCTTTTAAAAAATATCAAATAGTCAGCAAGGTTGAAGTGGATAGGGGTAGCAAACAATATCATTATTTGAAAATGCCCATCAGGCGTTTTGGGGCCCACAATCAAGATATATAACGAGTTTATATCACAAGAGAAAGCCATCTCTTGTTTCTACACACAGTTAGGGATTATACAAACACATATTGAAGCAAAGAA